GGGGGTTTTTATACAATGGAGTACTACTCTGCCATAAAGAAGGATGAGCTTCAGATATTTATAGCTAAATGGATGGACTGTGAGATCATACTCTTAAGTGAAATAAATCAGACACACATGTTTAAATACTGCATTGTTTCTCTGGTGTGAGAAATTGAATGTGGAAATAAAGACTGAGATATATAGTGGATGTTGGGAAATGGGAAGAAAGGGTTCAAATGGAAAGTGGATCAAGGGAGGGGGAAAGGAGAAAAGAAGGAAGGAACAAGAAAAAAAAGTGAAAATAGAAGGAAAAATGGAAACAAAGCTTTTGTACATAGGTAGGGGAGGGAGCTGGGGGGATGGGATAAAATTTATTTTTTAAAAAAACATTAGAGTTATCCTTAAAAAAAAAAATCTGTTGAATGAATGGTTTTATAATCCCTGAATTAGCTGCATGAAAAGAGTATAAAAAGTGTATATGGTGTGCTACTTTATGTAGAAAATGGGGTAATACATATGTACATAAACATGCATGTATTTATCTTTCTTGTAAGTATATAAAGAAACAGAGAGTATATACAAAAACTAATAGAAGTAGAAGGCAGGGGAAATAGAGTAGATGACAAAAGAATGGGACTGAAACTTTTTACCATATATTTCTTTACACACTATTTGGACTTTAAGTAATTGGGAGCAAGTGTTTAAGTAAAGATAAAACTCCTAGGCCTGTATATGAATGAATACCTTCCCCTTATTTCAACCACTGCAGTTAATTTTTCTGAACAAGGACAGGAAGAAAGGCCCCTTGAAAACAGACAATGGGCAACATAACCACAAACCCTACTGGGTCACAGCACTTAGAGATTAGGCAGGGTGGGTATAGGGGCTTCCTACCTGAGTTCAGATCCTGGCTTTGCCATTTACTAGCTCTGTGACCTTGGGTAGGCAACTAATCTCACTATCTCTCAGTTTATACACAGGACTTACATAAAACTGGGTACAGTGATGTACACCTGTAACCCTGACACTCAGAAGGCTGAGGCAGGAGGAGGATTGCCACCAGTTCAAGGATAGCCTTGGCTACATAATGAGTTCAAGGCCACTCTGAAACACAAAGCAAGACCCTGTCTCAAAAAAACCAACCAAACAAATAAACAAATAAAAAATTTATATATGGAGACAACTAATACTCCCTAATAGGGCTGCTGTGATACATGAAGAGATAATAAAAGTGCTGAGCACAGTGCCAGGAACACTGTCAATATCTGCTATGTGCTTATGTGTTTATTTTTACTAGCAAACAAACAAACAAAAAATGCACAAGAAGAAGTAGAAAGATGCACACACTAGAACTGGAAATCTTTCTAGGCAGAGTAACAGTGGTACACATACATGCATTTCTCTGGGGTTATATCTGCTTACAACCTAGACAGAGGAAATGGACCGAAGTAAACAAAGATATGTTGGCAAAAAGTACAAGCAAAAGAGCCTAATAAAGCAATGGAAAAAGAATACTAAATGGAAAAATAAGTATAAAAGGTGAATAAATACAAGAAATGGTGCTCAGCTTCACTCATAATGAAAGAAATTAAAATGCAGATATCATTTTCATCCATCAGATTGGCAAAAGATTAAAGGTTGCTTACACCTGCTATAAACATAAGGGCATAGAGAAATGGGTCTTCATACACTGTTAGCAGAACTTTAAATTGGTATAACTTTTTTTCTTAGGGGAGGGAAATGATGGGAGAAAATTATTCAAAACTTAAAATGTCAGGCTGGGGATTTAGCTCAGTGGTTCCACGGCCTGCAAGGACCCCAGTTTGATCCCTGGTACCAAAAACAAAACAAAACAAAACAAAAACTTAAAATGTAAACACCCTCTAAATTCAAAGTCCTACCACTAGGAGATTATCTTACAATAGTACAAAGATATACACCTATGCACATATATGAGTACTCAATACAGAATTATTCATAAAATCATTTGCAAACAGGTGGGGATTAAGGGAGAAAGAGGGAGGGAACAGGGACAGTGGAAGGGGAAGTAAAAATAATTAAGATGCATTATGTACATGTACCAACTCCCCATGGTGAACATAATCATTATGTACTGCAAACACATGATAATAAAATTTTTAAAATTATTCTAAAAGTAGGAAAAACAAGAACTTAAATGTCTATCAATATGGGATAATAAATTATGGGATACTCAAATGTGAAAACAATGTAATCATTCTCTTTTCCACTCAAAAAATATTTATTAAGCATCTGCTATGGGATAAAGCATTATTCTGAGGCCAAACAGTGAGTGACTTAGTCAAAAATTTTTCCCCACTACAGAAGGTATGTTACTGCAGGGAAACAGACAATATACAAAACAAAGAATATTCACAATCAGTGCTAGGTGAGTCATTATTAATAGGGAAGGGAACAGAAAATAATAAGGAATGGGGGGATGAAATTTTAGGTAGAGCATATAAGAAATTCATCAGAAAGAAGGCAGCATTTGAGTAAGGGCTAGAAGAGAATAAACCATAAAAAGATCTGTAACCAAGACCTGTCATGTAGAGGTACAAGATTCAAACAATGAATGTAACTGTACTGTATTCCTAAAATGTACGAATAAACTCAATTAAAAAAAAAAAAAAAAAAAAGATCTGTAAGACTGTTCCAGGCAGAAAGAATAGCCCTGAATGAGATGGCTTGGCATGTCCTCATATGGAAGGGTAATACTTTTAAAAAAGCAAGTCATAGAACAGAATACAGGTATGACATTTATGTCTCAAAGAGAAAGGACACACACATGAGCCCCTTTGTACCTGCATATGCATAAATTCTGTCTTGTACACACAGGAACATGACAGTGATCACCTCTACAGGATAGGACTTCTTTTTATAATTTCCTTGTAGTGTTTGAAAAGTTGTTTTTTCTAATCAT